AAAGCGATATCTGTGGGCCCCTCGATGATTTGGTGTAGACTTATGTGCTGGGCCCAGCCAGGACTAAATTGATGTGTTCGATTAGAAGTCCTACATCATCACAAATCAGGAATCGGGAAACATAGATTCTGGACAAATAGATTGATTACATTCCATGTCTTTTGTCTGGGGATATCAAGCAGAACGAAGGGTTATATGATCACTTATCTTAGGACACGTAACTGACTGGGTCAGAGTTCGGCAGCAGCTTTTTGGAAGCTACAATTTGCTGGTCAAATTTAGAAGGCATACTAGCAATTATAGTTACAGACTTATCCAAGTGGGAGACTGTTGGATTAGGTGTCTAAGCCCATAACTATAATTGGTATGTACTTGAATTGATAGCAGCACAGTCCTTTTGGGTTGCCCTCAACCTAGCAACTGGACAAGGAAATTATGAAAGGAGAGATATTAATTTATAAGATTAATAAATTAATATAAATGATTTATTAATATGTTAATGGATTAATATATTAATTAGAAATCATTATGTTTAATTAATTGTTAGCCAGAAATTAATCAGAATTAATTTTGGGGTTAAAAGAATTAATTATAAAGTGCAGGGACTAGTTTGCAATTAACTAATAGTTGAGTGGAAGGTTTCAGAAACCCCTTGGAAGGGGGTGGACGAAAACCCTAGGGGAAACCCTATAGAATTCGTCCAAGGGCTCCAAGATAAGGCCTTGGGTCTTGCTTAGGCCCTAAGCAAAGGATAACTAGGGTTTTCCCTAAACCCTAGTTCCCTCAACTATTTAAGGAGCCTCCTGGCTCACATTTTGGGTACTGAATTCTTTGGAAGAAACCCTAGTGGCCGAAATTGCATACTCCCTCCCCTCTCTCTTTCTACTTTCCTTCTTGCTAGTTCTTGGGTGTGACTCCATTAGAGGCATTACACTTGTGGTGCTAAAGCTTCCAAGAAGATCAAGATCAAGATCAAGGGAATATCAATTGTTTGCTATAACAATTGAAAGGTATGTAAATCCTAAACCCTAGTTTACTATTTTCGAAAATAGCCCCTCTCCTCTAGGGTTCTTGTTTTGCAATTCAAAGTTGTATGTTCAATAGTTAAAAACATAGATCCAAAGTAGGTTGCATGTGAACTTAGGAATTGTTTTCTAGTTTATTTGTTGTACCTAAAACCCCATCAGTGGGTGGTTGTGGCGGTAGTGGGTGGTAGTAGATGTGGTGTGTAGCGGGTGGTGACAACAGTGATGTGTGGTGGTGGTTGTAGCGGAGGTGATGATAGCGATGGTGGGTAGCGGTGACAGCGGTCGATAGTGGTGGAGGTGACGGTGCTAGTGGGTGGAGGATAGTGGTAGCATAGGTACCAGTGGTAGTGGTGGTGATGGTGATGATGGGTGGCAGTGGAGGTGGTGGTGGGTGGTAGGTGGTGGAGGAGGGGGTGGTGACGGTGATGGTGATGGTGGCGACAGAGGGGTTTCATCAGTGGTGTTAAAAGTAAAATGGGTAATATGGTAACATTCAACATTCTCACTTGAAAGGAATTTTAATTCCTTAAGTTTTTGGATGAAAGTTATTTTCCCACCTTGGAAGGAAAATTTGACTCATTTAGGAATCTAATTCCTTTTGAAAGCTTGAACCAAACAAAGAAAAATGATGGAATTAAATTCCGATTCCTTTTAATTCCAACGGAATCCAGCGAACCAAACGACACGTTAGGAGTATGGAAAGGAGTTATTAAGAGCGAAAAATATTGAGAGTTTTAATGCAAGTTCATATTTACAAAGTAGGATATAAACCATGTCGTGTCTCTTTTCATTTACTTATATTTGTTATTGGTTATTATATGACTAATCATAATAAAATGATTCAACCAAAATGTTGATATTTTGTTTTGAACCGTGCATAACTGATAACATTAGTACGTTATACGATTTTTTTTTGGGCATTAGTACATTAGTACGTTATACAATTTAGGTTGTGATGATGTTAATTTTCAAAAGTATAAAGCATAAAATCATATCATAAATTATCATGGTTTGTTCGATTTGACATATGTCTATGGACAAATGATCTCTTCTATTACTCAATTGTCTCGAAAATGATACATTAGAAAATCTACTTACAAATTATTATAATCGGAAACCCTAACAACTATTATGGTTTGTTTGATTGGATGGATAAGATAATGGAATGAACCAAGTAATGTAATGAAAAAGGTAATAGAATGAGTCATTACTATTCCATAGCCATGTTTGGTTAAGCAATTGGAATGGGATGGATCATTAATCCATTTTGTTTGGTAGGCCGGAAATAACGAATGAATGGAATCAAATTCATCGAGAATGACCAAAATACCTATGTAACACAAAATACATATAATTTACAATTTTAAGCAACATTATCCATTCCAAAATTAGATTTTATATCATATTTAATAGACATGGAATAAAATTTGAATTTCATAACATTAATGTAAACAATTAATACAAATATCTTCTTTTTTGCTGCGATATCATTTTGTTTACATCTTGCTGTTGATAATTTTTTTCTTGATTGCGATATCTTTTTTTTTTACAAAAATATTTGTGTCTACCCAAGATAAATAAACATATCATGGTTAAAATCATAATGCTTACAACTTAAAAAGATGCAAATGAAGATAAACTCTCAATGCAAAATGAAGATAAAGTTTAAAATATTTATATCTACCCATGATAAATAAACATACCATTTTCTTCTATTTTTAATATACATCGACTACTAGAAGCACACACAAAACCATCATTTGGTTGTTCATTTTTTCAAATATTTACTAAATTTTCATGTAAAGCAAGCATAAAAAAATCAATCAAAGTAGTTTAATACTATCACCATTCAATAACAAAATATGAATTCATAGTGGCATTTTATTAAACGCCTAATATGCAGTTAAGAACCATTTCTAAAAATCAGATGGGAACTCTAAAACAATCATTTGTATGCAAAGAAACTCAAGACACAAAATATGAAGAAAAAATGCATATCTTGTATTGATTAGCTTCAACTCGCCCGTTAAAAGTCTCAAACCATGAACAATGCAATATATGAATTGGGCATAAAACAAAATGAAATTGATTCATATGATTGGATGTTTTGCTTCAATTATTCAGCCGACTCTATTTTAATTAACCCGATTACCAATCAAATACAACATAAATAATTTTGTAGCGATTTGAATTGATTGATAATTTGGTTGGGGCGTGAAGTATATGTGCTTGCGACTTTGATCGGTGAAAAATAAATTGATAAGAGGGCAAAATTGGTAGTCATCATTCCATGTAGGAAAGGAATGAAAACAAATCACGGGGTTTGGGTGGAATAAAAAACGCGCTTCTTGAAGGAATGTCATTTCGGATTGAATGAATCATTCTTTTCCTATTATCAACCAAAGATATGATTTTCCATGCCATCATAATTAGGGCTGGCAAATATCTACCACAAAGAACCAACCAACATGTTACCAACCGAACCAATAAAATCGGTAGTCAAGTTGTTTGGTAACCAATATGTTTGGCTGGTAATACCATGTCAATTAAGTAGTATTGGTACGGTAACGGTATTAAATTTTGAATACCATGGTTGTACCGTACCAACCAATTCATATATATATATATATATATATATCAATTAATAAAAATAAAGAAATATTAGTTCTCATATCTGCATGTTTTAATTAGAATAAAAAATTAAAAGTCTTGGAATTAATAAACTAATACTTTGATTAACAAATTTCTTGATACTTATTTTTTGAAGAGCACGAAATCGGTGATACAAAAGCACATGACGCTAAAACTCAAAAGGAATACTAACTTCTCATTCCTTGTATTGTTTCCATTTGCTTCCTCAAGCAACTTGCTAGAGGTGGGCCTCTTTTAATCCTTTTAGTCGTTTTCAAAAGATAAAATACTAACACAAGCAAGTGAAGCAACGGCCAATTGCCCACAAATTCAACTCATATTCACGTATAGGTATATATTAGTTAAAATTTTTGGTATATACCAAATACCAATATGTACCAACCAAATTTGTTGGCAGCCAAATTAGTTAGTACCAAGTATACTTGGTACGGTACTGGTAAGTAAATTCTTATGTCAACTATAGTTGGTACGGTACACGGTTTGGAGAAAAAAAAACTTTGTACCGTACCAATTCCACCCCTAATCAGAATAACACATTTCATTCCTTCTGCGATTATAGTGTACAAAACAGGGGCTTAGGCCAAATCCATATACAAAAAAAATCCAAAATAACTAATCACGGATCCTTTCGGGCCTAAAGACCATCAACCTACTTGAAACATTATTCGTTCGAGATTCGTCATTCAAGTTTACTAACTTCGTTCTGGGTCGGGTTTTTCATTCGAATCACCAATTACAAGTCACACTAACATTTCAAATATACTAGACGGTTGGATTTATACAAATTTTTTAAAAATTTTAAAATATTTTATTTAAAAGTAAACCATTAAAATTAAATAACATGTCAGCAATTTGTAAATAATATAACTATTTACTAACATGAAACTAATTTAACTTCTAACCATTAAACAACCTAACCAAACATAACCATTAACGAGCAGTTAGAAAAAATTATATTACCAAAACTTTAACAATAAAAAATATAAAAAGTATTTAAGTGGACATTTGAAAAGCGTTAGCTTTTTAATAATGTGATGAAACTCGCGTATTCAATAACTTTACGAGAAAACCTCTTTTCCATGTGGATAATTTTAGTAGTGACTAGCGGCAGTCCATACACACATATCCAACCCAAACAAAATCGCCGGTTCCACGTCGGAACATCTGACGCAAAAACTCGTATAGGTGTCAGTGATATGTCACCAGCGTCTGTCACCTGGCAGACCACCTCTCCACGTGTACTCGCTTCATCCTCCAATCTCCAGTATAAATACCTCATTCGCCCCACACCTCCACCATCGCAAAGGAAAACACCACTCAATGGCAAAACTCGGCGTGCTCGCACTCACCTTCGCCGCGCTTATCGCATGTACCTCGGTTTCCGCCTTTAGAACAACCTTCTTCACCACCACCATCGAGGATGACGACAACCTCGTGTTCACAAGAAGCTCCCGAGAGCAACAGAGTTGCCGCAAGGAAATCCAGCCGGAGCAGTTAAACGACTGCCAGAAGTACCTAGAGCAAAACTCCCCGTACGCCGGCGAGGTGCTGGAGATGACCGTCGAGGACCCGAGAAAACAGCACGAAAAGAAACAACTTGAGCAGTGCTGCAGAGAGCTCCGCAATGTCAAAGAGGAGTGCCAGTGTGAGGCTGTGCAGGAGGCTTTCCGGCAAGCCGAGAAGCAGCAGCAGCAGGGTGGAAGCCGCCATGGTTCGCAGCAGGAACGGCAACAACGGCAGATTCTGCAGAAAGCTCAAAACCTCCCAAGTGAATGTCGTTTGAAAGTTCAGCAATGCCGGATCCGATCTCCATGGATCTAAATGTATATGAACCGGTGGTGGGTTCTGTGATAATAAAGTTGTGGGAATATTCCGATTCACTGTGGTGATCGGGGTGATGAACTCATATAAATAATAATAAACACGTTTCAAGTATATGAGTGTGCGAGAGCGAGATTGTGGATGAACAAACGTATTCAAACTAATTACAATGAGTTAAAGATACTAATACTAGTTTTTATATTATATTTAGTCACAAAACTGGTTTGAATGTGTATTCAAAGACTTAAAAAGGGTTAACCAAGCGGGACATCATGTTACTTTAATGCAATACTTCTAATTTTAAATTTTAGTTAGAAAATAAATATACATAAAACTGACATTAATGGGTCCCCACAATAAAACTTTACTGGTATCTGGTTTTACATATATAAATAGATTTAGCCGTAGTTTGGAATAGAGTAGATAAAAAAAATAGAAAAAGAAAAAAGTTAATTAGTGATTTATTTTATAAATAATAGTAGTAGATAGTAATCAACAGGGCCGGTTATGCTCTGAGCAAAGAAACTTAGGTAGTGTTTGTTTTTTGTCTGTAGATTTGCGTGGCCTCTTCTGTCTGCGCCGCGCAGACCACGCGCAGACATTAGTCTTCGCAGACTGTTTGTTTTTTTGAAAACTGCATACTTAAAAATGTATGCGCGTCCTCTTCTTGGCGCAGACGTGGACCAGAGTCTTCTAACATCTTCAGACATCTTCTAGCCTAAAAAAACATATATATCTTTATTTTTTTTAAGTTTTTTTTTTTAATTTATATTTTTTCCAACTTTATTAATGATAAACAATTTGAAAAAAAAAATACAAAACTTAAAAAAAAACGTTCGACGATACAAACATAATATTTTTGACAAATTTATAAATAAAGATTTATTACAATAATAGTCGTTGAAGTTGTTTATATAAATATAAAAAAAATCATAATATATTCTTATATTTTTTTGCCAAATTTTGTAAAACATTATTTAATACAGTATCGTCAATTTCTCGAGAAAATATTTATGGTGCGTTTTTAATGGATTTAATTGAAAAAATCGAAGTTTATTTCCATCCATTTATGTATCAAATTCTTCGATCACTAATTATAATGTTTAGTTATAACTTTGCAACCAAAGTTGTTGATTTTTATCAAATATATACGTTAATTCATACCATTTTTATTTTTATTTTTATACAATAATACATAAAAGTTGATCTAGATTCATTAATCATTTATAACAAAGTCATAAAAATATTAAAAATCACTTTAAAGTTTAAAAAAATCAGTTAATTTAGATTTCAGTTTATTTCAGTAGCCCGTAGATGTTAAAAAAACAAACAGTCTTCTTTTTTCAGACTGCAGACGTTTGGTCCACCTCTTCTACTGCAGAGGTCTACAGATGTGGTTCGCAGACTGCAGACATTGTCTCAGAAAAAACAAACAGCACCTTAATGATGCCCTTGTTTTATCGAACAACATAAAATTATAGTTAAAAAAAATTGTTCTCATGTACCATATCCATCACAATGATAATCCTAAATACACTACACATACATAGAGGCATCACAAATTAGGCTTCAAATACAAAAGAAATTGGGTAAGATGATGTTGGGAAAATCTAATATCGAGTAAATTAAAAAATTTAAATTTGTTTGTCTGATTAACCTTGTGGTATAATGATGAAACAAAAGTACATGACATCTGAAGGTGCCAAAACTATAAGGAGACCACATTAGCACCTGAGCAACTAGAACACCAACAAAAAGGCTAAACAAGAATGAACTAAGAGATTTGAGAACACCAAAACCGACCAGCACCAATTATGACAATAGACTTATAGGAAAATCACGTTGTTATACCACTTACAATAATGAACTTTATAAAAACATAATAGACTAAAAAAAATCAAGCAACCTCACTTTATTGATTTTTGACTAAATATGAATGCATCCACATTAAAGTCTTGATATTACCATCAGCCACACCATAACCTGTGTTTTTTCGTTTTTCAAACATGATAATACATACCACAATCATTCTTGCAACTTAAAGCATTTGTAGTGAGAGCCTCTAAGTAAGCATCCCCAAATATATAGTGGTTACTTATAACCATCAATTTACACCAAAAGAAACTCCAATCAATGAAACAAAATCAAAAAGTATCTTCAACTTATATTATAATAAAATGATTGAATGCCTACAAAAACTCTAAGGCAGCAAGAAAGTATACAAGCATGAAAGTATACAAGCTATTTTACAAATTAGAGCACCAAAATCTCAACCTCAACTAATCTGGCATTAACTTTCAAATATAACACTCTTAACTTTTTTTTATTGTTTAATTTTGAGAGCAATCGGCAAAAACCATTTAAATACTGAAACAAACTGACACAAAATGACTCCAATGAATATTCAACTGAGAAAGGTTGAGAGACCAAGGCTTCAAAATTCTTGTGAGCTCATGCGAGAGACAACGATATACGAGAGTAAAGAGAGATCCTTGAGAGTTCAGATTTTACGCATCTTAAATCATCCTATGTCGTTGCAACTTCTCAATTGTCTAAGATCGGTACACCATCTCACGTCTTGAAGCGCGGTTATTGGAGAAAATTGATGGGGGCTCAAGGATTATAAAAAAAGCTATTATTAGGCATGTGTTGTTACTTAGGAGAAAGTTATTGGCGAAAATCATCCTCCGTATTTATTGCTTCGTTTTCTCCAGAGCGCCATTGATCGGAATGCCTCGTCTTCTTCAACAGCAATTATTAGGCGTGTGCTGTTACTTAGAAGACTGAAGAGTCGTGCCTTCCAAATAAACTTCAATTTTCCGCCTAATGTTTAGGTATAGAACTAACGCGTTGTTGGCTGTTGCTGCCCCCTTTTCATTTGGACCAGACTTGCTTGGATTAAGAGGCCCAAATAGCATATATCTATAACAACCTAGGAAATCTGATGCCCCATAAAAATTTGCTGCCCTGGGGTTTGTTTGGTCGGCCCTGGTAATCAATTTACTTCGGTGTAAGTGGAACTAGTATGAACGTTCATACTATTGTGAATATCAACAAACTAACTTTTTGGGAAAATATCGATGGTTTGTGAAAATACTTGACCTAGACTCATCCTCTTGTCATTTGCCCACATTCAAAATGAATGTCAATTTCAAAATATTTTGTTCGTTAGAATTAATTGCTAACTACGTATATTGTAGTTTTGACCCACAAAAGAAAAAATTTTTATATTTTAACTAGATGTAATTTAATATAATATTTATTACATTTTATACTTTACATGTATAAGTATAAGATTATGTGGTCTTTTAATTTTAAAAATTGAAAAAACCATAAATTGACATTTGGATATTATTTATTTAAAAAATATCACAAAATGACAAGTGTTAAAACTCATTAGAGATTGACATATAACAAAATTATCTTCATTTATTATAGTAGACTAGGTGTAAAAGCCGTATATTACACTGGTTGATTAAAAAAATAAAATACTAAAATGTAAATAATAAATATTTTTAAAATAAAATTTTGAAATAAGGAATGAAAAAACATATTAATTTCAATTTAGTATAATATTTATTACATTTGATACTTTACATATACAAGTATAAGTATTATATGACTTTTTAATTTTAAAAATTGACAAAAAAAACCATAAATTGACATGTGAATATTATTTATTGAAAAACTATCACAAAATGACAAGTGTTAAAACTCATTAGAGATTGACATGTGACAAAATTATCTTCACTTATTATAGTAGATTTTGATATGCAACAAATATTTTTGCTTAAGTTCCTTTTGTATTTGGATTTTTATCATTTTCATAGCGAAAAAAAAAATTATATTGTTGAAGTTTTTTGATTGGGAGAGTTTTTACTGGAAAAAAAATGTTGTAAACATGATTAAAATAAAAGGATAATGACTTAAAAGGGTAATATATTTTTCGATTTGTACATGTTTTGTAACTGAGTTTTTTTTCGTCCATATTACCCTTCAACTTGTTAAACTTCACACATTCAGTCCTTATGACCGATTACTCCAGATTAGCCGAAAAAAATGACTTAATAGGGTAATATATTTCTCATTTTGTACACATTTAGTCCTTAATATTTTTGTACATATTTAGTCCTTAATATTTTTTGTTTCAAAATAAGTCCTTTTTGTTTTTGTACTCATTCAGTACTTATAAATGATTTTTTTTAGGTTTTTTCTCATGACATCTTACGTGGGACAGTCATTGATGAGGTGTTTGGGGCTATTGATGCTTATGTCCATCGCGATCTTGACTGCTTGGTTGCGTAAGTCTTGTGTGTGGTTTGACTTAGGTCTTGTATTTTGAACGTCGTAAGTTCTTCATACGATATCAAATTTGAATGATCTTTATATTCACATGTTCGTCTTTTGCGTCTACTACAACTTTCGTTAAGATTAGTCCCGTTAAAACGTAATATATTTTTACTTGCGATTTTATAAAAAAACATCCATACATGTATTCATAAAAAACAATTTGAGGATGGATTAGGGCAGTCGATGAGGGAAAGGAATCAACATATGAGTATGATCCGTAGAGTGAGCCAGAGAGAGAGAACGGGAAGAACAAAGTAGGGGTGGGAGTGAGGTGATGGTAGGTAAGGGATCATGCATAACAATGTTATATCCCCTATATTTATGGATGTAGTCTTCAAAAGAATTGGTTTTACCATACAAAAAGGTTTAACGTTGCAACTTGTTGCCCGTTTGCCTTCTCATTCGTTTTACGGTGATAACTAAGATATAAAGTTTAATCATTAAAAAGAAAATATTAAAAAATCTATATTCTAAAAATAATAATAATAATTAAATTTAGTTTAAGAAAAAGATAAAAGAAATCAAATAAGAGCAAATAAGTAAATTTATATAGCTTAGAGACTATTACTAGGGGTGAGCAAAAACCGAACCGACTAAAAATAACCCGACAAAACCGTAACAAACCGTAACCAACAAACCGAAACTGATGCAAAAACCAATGATGCAGATTTCATTTTTGCAAAAATCGAAGGTCTGCGAGTCAGTGCGGTTTTTTACCAAGAAACCGGTCCATCAAAACCGAACCGCACCGAAGATTTATAAAATAATAAATCACTAATTTATATTTATATTCTATAATATATACATATTTTTAAAATATTAAGAAATATTAATACATATTATATTTGGACTTTGGACTTTGATAGTTGGTTTTAGCCATTTAATCGGGATTCCAAATCATTTTCCAAACTTTTTTTTTGAAAGAGACAATCATTTTCCAAACTTATTTTCTATTTTGTTTTTATTTTTGTAGTTAAAACCACAACAAAGTAGGTCACTAATTAACTATGTGTTATAAGTTTATAACAAGTAAACCAAAATTCAATTTTTTTTTTCTTAGTCAACCGTTGTATATAAAGTCACTTAGAACTTTTGATTTATATAATTTATTTTGTACTGAAAATAAACATTTACAAATAAACAGTTTCAAAAAGTGAAAAACATTGCACCATACAAGCTTACATGTATATTGTTATCGTTTTTTTTTTAAATTCACCAAAAAACATCAAAGCCCATACCAAATTTTAGAATCGGTTTAAAACTGAAACCACATTTAGAAACCGTAAAACCGAACCATTAGAAAACCGCACCCAACGGTTTTAAGAATACAAAAACCGCACCTTGCAGTTTGCGGTTCGGTTTGACCGTAAAACCGCATTATGCTCACCCTTAACTATTACCGTACTATTTATGTAAGTTTTGAAGCCCAAAGACCATTCCTATCAAGAAAATTAAAAAGAAAATGGCTCTTGATAAACCATACGACATTTATATAATATTGTCTAAAAATAAGTTTAAAAAAAAATTAATGTTTAATCCCAGAAAAAACTCAGATTTTTTTGCAACTATTCTTTCCTTTACCTTGTTTCCAGAGAGGAGTTCGAGCACTTTAATTGAACCCCTTCACGTTAACGGAAAATTCCGCTTCTCCCTCTGTTTGTAAACTCTCCATGAACGGCGAACAGTCCGTTCAAAATCTCCGACGCAACTCACCGGATTCCACGTATTCGTCTATCCGTTCATCCTATTATTTCTTTTAAATCTATTATATTCACTTTCCATGATTTTAATGTTGTTTCACATGCCTCGATAGATTTTGTATGTCCCATGTTTTGCGTAATTAGTTGACATTTCTATAATTCGATTGATACTAGAAGATACAGAAGAATTTGCGCACATAAGCACGACTGTATTAGGAAAGAACTGATCGTAGACTTCGATGGCTCCTGCTGTTCCTAGATCTGGAGATGCGATTTTCGCTAATGTTGAGCGTGTGGTAAGTTCTCTGCATCAGAAGTCAATGCACAGGATAATCTCGGTGCTCGATTTACATTTTTTATTGCTAATTTATTTCATGATCCCTTAATGTGATTGTGATTGTTCGCAGAACTCTGAGTTGTTCACTCTGACGTATGGAGCGATCGTTCGACAATTGCTTACGGATCTGGAGGAGGTTGAGGAAGTCAATAAGCAGCTCGATCAAATGTATACATGAATGGTTTTTATTGTTTTCATATTGATTGTACTTGGTCTCATTGTCTGACTTTTTTTCTACACCAGGGGTTATAATATTGGGATCCGTCTGATTGATGAGTTCCTTGCAAAATCTAATGTCACTAGATGTGTTAATTTTAGGGAGACAGTTGAAGTCATCGCAAAGGTAACTCTTCTTCACTTGTGCCCATTTGCACTTTTGATGATCTTCAAATATTGTTTGGCAATGTCTTCCAAGTATTTAGACATGGTATTTGTTTCTGCTTCAATGGTTCTGTGGGACCTTGGGAGAAGTTATGGCTATTGAATAAATCTGTTAGGAACTCATACTTGACCAAAATAAACAAACATGTTTTCCACTGAATAGAGAAAACATCAAGTCTTCTATGGAGTCTTAATCTATGCCTTGTAAATAGGTTGGGTTCAAAATGTTTTTAGGGGTGACTGCATCTGTGACTAACTGGGATTCAGAAGGAACGTCTTGTAGCCTCATTTTGGAGGATAATCCGCTCATAGATTTTGTTGAGCTTCCAGATACTTGTCAAGGTTTATATTACTGCAACATTCTAAGCGGAGTAGTCAGAGGAGCTCTAGAAATGGTATGTTCTGTTTCATATATATATATATATTTTTGAACTTTTCCATATGTTAGTTAAATTTTGCGTACCGGTTCTTTTGGATTGGGTGAAATGTTGTATAGCAGTTAAATAGAAGGGTTAAATGTTTAATTATGTAAAATGTTTCACTTTTTTTTTCCAATTTTTGCTACAAAATCGAAGTTTCTATTTAGAAGTAAATAAGATTTAATCAAAAAGCAACTTACTCAAAATTTAATTTTACTTATGTGACCATTTAGAATAGGAAACCAGTTCATGTTTACAAGGTTGCATATTTTGTTCCTAGAACTAAAAGTGGTTGTATAATTGTTAAAAAACCACTTTGTTGCATAAATTGGGAAAAAAGGGTGAAATGTTGTTGCATAAATTAAATAGAAATATATAGATGTTGCAATCATGGGTAAAACAATAAAGTACATTGTCTGTTTGGGAAGTGGGAGTAATTGAAATTTTGTATGAGAAATTACATTGTATGATATATTCAGGTGTCAATGAAGACTGAAATCACATGGGTGCGTGATATGCTTAAAGGAGATGATGCATTTGAGTTAAAGGTAAAGCTCGTGAAGCAAGTTCCAGAAGAGTATCCCTACAAAGATGACGAGTAAACATGTTTTAGTTTTTTAACTTTTTATTAAATAATGATTTATGTATATACAGTTCAATAATAGACTTTCCATAACTTACTTTTGTTATGGATTTGGTTATAATATGCATTTTACATTTGGAGAATTTGTTTGAAAGTTTATTGGTTCGTTACAGTGTCACTTCGTGAATTATCCATGGTGAGAATATGATAATACTCTTTACCTGTCTGATGTTGGCAGATCAAAGGGTGTGATTACAAAAAGAAAAAAAGCCATGGCGTCTAACTGTTTTATAATAAGTGAGATTCTAAAAATCACCAAATTTTAGTAATTAAGTTCTCCATCAACTATTGAAGTCTTAAAATAGAAAAGTTGAAGGGGAAAAGAATACAAAACAAGGTTGGTGGTTTTTGAAAATGAAAAAGCCTAAAGAAAAAATTTCATAAATGGTCCTTGTGCCTTTTAGAAATATGACATTTAGTCCCCAAGTTTAAAAAATCTCACAGATGGTCCCTATGCTTTCAAAAATTTTGATGTTTGGCCCTTATTGCTCATTTTGTTAAGTTTTGTCCGTTAACCGAAGGGTATTTTCGTCATTTCACAAGATCATTTATAAAGCTTTTTGTTATTTAAATGGTCTCTCTCTCTCTCTCTCAAATTTTCATTTTCTTTGAAAAAATTCTTCAAATCACCTCTTATATTCGCAAATCTCATTTGAAATCAGTCTCCAAATTCTCAATGTCGTCGTCTGCTATGTTAGTTACTGCAAACCCTTCTTTCGTTGTGCGTGGAACTTTATTCACCGTTGAGAAAAAATCTGGCTCAAATTTGGGTGACAGTGATGGAATTTATGCCTCTCCGCTGGGCAGCGGCGAAGCCAGCAGAGGGAAAGATCTCAACCATTCAATCATGGCAGGATCATAAACCGTTCTCGAAAGATCTAGAGATGTTATTCAAACCAAGAACACGTTACCCACGAATTCAACCACCAAGCCACGAAAACAAACCATCGATAAGAAGCGCGATGTCCCCTCCACTACCAAGGCTCCATGAGAGAGGGTTGTAAGTGTAATCATGAAGAATTTTGCCCTTATACTTATACTCTTGATTTTGGCTCAAATGATTCGTAGACTAGCGTTCAATCAAGGGAGTGGTTTTGATTCAATTCTTATTCCTAGTTCTGATTATGAAATAAGGTTTGCAAAAATCGAAGCCTTCTTGAAGATCGCAACCAAAATGATGCAAGTTCTGGTTGAAGTTGTGGATTAGAAGATTAAGAATGAGATTGCAAGTTTGAAAACTGAATTAGATAAGAATATAAAGTATGGAGAAATCCTTGACCACTAATTAGTAGGCCTGGTAATGAAGCGAGTTTTGACCCTGATCCGATCCAAACCCTTAACAATTATACGAGTTAGGAGCATAGTTTTTGATCCGTTTACCCGTTAACGACCCATACCCGCTAACCCTTTTATTAAAAGGGTCGGGTATGGATCATCACCGATCCGCTCCATTTATAACCCGCCCCATATAAATTTTAGAATCATACATTTATAGTTTATACTGCCTAAAGTTTACTTTAAATTCCAATCGAAAGTCCAAAGAGAAAAGGCCAAAAACTAAACCGTTTTTACATAGGACTCGTGGACTCAACTTCTAGACTTCCAGTCTTCTCCCAAGAATCATGTTGTCATTTCATTTATATTTCATCATGTAATCACCAATTTCATTTATAAGTCCATAAATTCATTTATCAACCGGAAGAAATTTTGTAATTCCTATTCTCTATCAATGCAATCGACGGTCAAAAACCAATCAGAAGTAACTACGATAATGCTTTTAATTCCAATAGAAAGTCTTCGAGTACATAATGTGTTTTCTAAATCAACATTTCTTTTATTTAATAAATGTGATTTTATGATTTAAGTAAAATGTGTTTGATTATTCAAAAAACCTACGGGTTACGGGGCGGGTTTGGATAGCTGCTGATTCGGTGGATAAGGGTATGGGTTTGATTATTCAAAACCCTGCGGGTTACGGAGCGGGTTTGGATTGGATTTTGGAATTTGTTAAAAGGGTTTGGATCAAGGTCGATTCGCTCCAAACCCGCCCCATTTCCAGGTCTACTAATTAGCTTACCAAAGATGAGTTCAACAGGTTTTTAGAGGAATTGAAGGGGGAAAACGGAGTTGATGATATTGGTGATTTAAAATTGGATGAATTAGGGCTTTTGCCAAAGAAATTGTGGAGAAAAATGATTTAGAAGGCATATGATAGCTGAAGATGAACAGGGGGTGTACCAGTGGGGAGAGAGAGACACGAAGAGAGGACCCTTTATATATTAAATGTATATATTTTATTTTTTCTTTTTTGAAAGATAAAAAAAACTTCATGGTCCTTTTAGTAGTGAAATGACGAAAATGCCCTTCGTTAACGGACAAAACTTAATGGAGTGAACAATAAGGACCAAACATCAAAAGTTTTGAAAGCATGTAGACCATTTGTTAGACTTTATAAACTTAAGGACTAAACTTTAGATTTTTGAAAAGCACATGGGCCATTTATGATGCTTTTTCTAAACTAAAGAGTAAATTACAAAAATGGTCCTTGTGCTTTGGTTAAATTCACAGCTTTGGTCCAACCTTTGAAAAGTTGATATGTCGCATCCCTGTAGTTTTCAGTTATTGCAGTTTTGATCCTTCTGTTTAACTCTATTAGGAAAAGTCTGTTAAAAGCATGTAAAATGACTAAAATGCCCCGCATTTAATTTTTTTATTCTTTTCTTTATAATTTTATTATTATTTATCTTGTTGCAAACCCCTTCCAACTCCTTCATCTTGTCCTCAAACTCTTCAACCTCCACCCAGATGATTCCGATTCAACCACTATATCGCCTTTTCCACACAGTAATCTGCGGGACCCCTCTCGGTGCCGGAGGGATCATGGAAACCTCAAATTTCCCCAACAGATTGTTTTCTTTTTTTCGTGTTCTTTCTCCTTCGTAGACCTGAATCAAAACCCTTGGTTGGTTATTAGAATGAGTCAAAAACACATGCTCATTCTTCTTCAGAATGGTGGTGTTTCGTGGTATCAACATCGTCTCCCAAAGATAGAGGCGTCACGTCCAACATAAGCAGATCTTGAACCTTTTGGTTGCCTTCACCACTTAAAATGGCGGCTTGCACTGTCGCGCCATACTCCACCGCTTCAACTGGGTTGTTGCTTTTTACAGAGCTCTTTCACGTTGAAGAAATCTTGCAAAAGTTGTTGGACTTTATGGATCCGGGTCGAGCCACCCGCCTAGATAAGTGTCTCCGGACATCGCCTTCAACTCGAAAATCCCCTCTTTTATGGTGAGGAGAGAGACATCAAAAGTGCCACCACCCATGTCAAAGATTAGCACGTTCTTCTCGCTAACATTTGAATCCTTCTTGTTGAGGCCATTATACAAGCCACAAGCAATGGTGGCTGCTATTGGCTCGTTAATGATTCTCATGATGTTACGACCAAAGATTACACCGACGTCCTTGGTGGTTTGTCGCTGAGAGTCGTTGAAGTAGGCGGGGACGGTGACCACTGTGTTCTTAACAGAGATGCCTAAGTAAGCTTCATCGATGGATCATATATTCTCCTTCCGATTAAACACTTAGCATCTGTAGAAATCACAATGAATTGTTCTTATTAGACTTTAAGACATCACTTGAAATAAACTCAAATTCAAGCCTAGAAGAGCTTAGGTTAGAGATTTTATTAGTGTTTTTATTGTTTTAGCCCCTTTAGTTAGAGTGTTATTTGATTTATTTGAGGGTAAAATGGCCATTATATTCAAATATAATAGCTTCAAAAGTTAGATTTAACACTAGTGGGACCAACAGTGTAATTTTTTGAAATCACAGGGACGCAACCTGTCCATTTTTTAAAGGTTGGACGAAAGCTGCGAATTTAACCAAACCACAGGGACCATTTTGGTAATTTACTCTAAAATGAATTTGAAAAATGGTAAACCGCCATATACAAAAGAAATCTTGCACTTCTCATTTTTTCTTTTTCGAGGTTACTGTCTGCTTTTTGTGAACTATACATCTATAATCAAATCCAAAAGATAAAAGGACATTATCCGATTTAATTAACAAACCATAAGGCTGATGTGAGTCGAACGCTAAGAATGCTCACTACAGACAATGAACACCGCCCCCGGCGCTCGCCCAATGCGCTGCCGGCTCAGCGAGACGAGAACCGAAATTATCTTTGTTGTGATTGGTCCTTGGCCGTACGACCAGATTCCATTTTCTTTTTGACCAAATTCAAAAAAAAATCCTCCTTTTAAAAAAAACATCCGATTTTTACCCTTACAACATTAAAATTTTAAAATTTTATCCAACATTATAAATTAACACTACACTCTAACATTTCACATACAAACTATCATTCTTTCTCTCACAAAAACTCTCAATTCACCAAACAAATATGTCTTCACCTAGCCAAAACAAAACCCCAAGAAGAAACAAAAAAAATCTTTACAACCTGCCATCACTAAACCTTCCACCTCCAAACCCTCAATCACCAAACATTCCATCACCAACATGTTATCGACCTTCATTTGATCAACTCATTCATTCACCCGCTAGTTACTTTTATCCTACTGTGGCTCCATAAATGTATCCATTCAATCCGTACTCTTCTTAATTCCAATCTTAACCAATACCATTTTACTAAAACCAACCCCAACCTGATTTTCAATCCCAGCAAATACCTCATCAAAATTTCGATCTTGGTCCGTTTGAGTCGGTTCAAGAAACCCAATTCTTTTCCCAACCTCAACCCCAAACTAATTTTCAATCCCAACCACGTCGCATACTCGATGAGTCAACCGATTCTTCTGATGAAGCACCCGTTCAAGAGTCGGTTCAAGAGCCTGAATCCAACCCAAAAGGAAAAGGGAAAGCAAAATGCCAAAGATGGACAAATAAAGAAGAGAAGGAATTAGCTCAAGCATGGCTAGATGTGTCGGAGGATCCGACGACGGGCGACGACCAAGATTCGACAACCTTTAAATTTAGAGTTTGGAAAAGTTTTTGTGTCCGAATGAATAAGGAGTACTGCAATCCTAATCAACTTTACTTGAAATGGAGGACCGCCAACAAAACACAATGGAGTTCAACGACATCTACATGAACGCGAACTGCAACCCGCAAAGCGGTGTAAATTAGGAGGATTTCGTGGCAAAATGTCATCAAATTTATAAGGTGAAAGTCGGAAAAACTTTTGAAAATGAGGCGTTTTGGAGAGTTATGAAGGGCAAACGAAATGGCTTAGTCTAAAAAGTGTTGACGATTTCATGGGTATGTCTAAATGAAGCAAAACTTTCAAGTCAACCGATAGTCAATCTTCCGATGCGCATATCGGGGGTATTGACCTAAAAACGAAGTTCCATATGAAGCTCCAAATCATCCTATGGGATGATACAAAGCAAAAAGAAAGTTGAAAGGAGTACAAAGTTCATCAAATGAAGTGGAGGAGATAAGGATCGACGTCTAGGGGTTGGAGAATAGGCTTGATAATTTTTTTGGCACTGGGAAAGGAAAAAAGAAAAGAATTGTGCGCTAAAGCTTTTCTTAATAAAGGGAAAGAACTTGTCCGAGGATGATCGTCGGATTTTCAAAAATGCAAAGAAGAAGATTGCTAAACAATATCAGTGAGATATGTAGTAGTATTTTTATGTTTTAGATGTAGTTTTAATTTATGTTTTAATTCTAGTATTAAATCGTGTTTTAGGTTTTAAGTCAGGTTTTTATGAAGTAAGTCATGTTTTAAGTTTTTTAATCGTATTTTATGTTTTAAATTACTGTAACATTTTTTATTTAATAGTCAGTGTTTGTTTTTTAAAAAAAATATAATTTATGTAATATTAAATGTTTGTGTATTAAAAAAATATAATTTATTTAAATTTTAAAAAGAAAATAAAAAAATGGAATGCTAAGAGTGCTATCACTCCTTATGAAATGCTAAAAATAAGATGCTACCAAGGTGACATGAGAAGAAATGAGATGACAGTAAAGAAGATGATGTGACAGTTAGGAGTATTATCATTCACTTTAGCCTAAATGATAAGGATGATCACCACAATGACCACAATGACCCAAATAGAAGATGTTAGCATACCAAATGAACTAAAAAGTGATTTGTGAAATTAATTTTCTAATCATTATATTGGAAAATCCAAAATTTTATATTTTTAAGTGTTCATATCTTGTGAAACTATATATTTCTTTTGCGAAATAGATAGCAAAATTTGTAGAGTGACCATTAAAAAATAATTTTGTAAATTATTAATGATTTTGTAACGCAAGTAACTATTTTCCATGTACATATTTTTGTAAACTCAATTTGTTTGTTCAAAAGACATCATCTTAGATTGTCCGGTTATTTGACATCTACATTGGAGGAGTTTAAAGGTTTATGACTTTGAAAGGTAAACAATTGTTTTTCATGTACACATTTGGTTATTCGGTAAACATCATTTTTTTATCGACAACATCCCATATTGCCAATTACGTCTTTATTTGAAAATTAAGAGCATTAGGTGGATGTTATGCGCAAATGACATGACAAAACAAACCATTTCTAGTTTCCATCTATTTTTCGGAGGCAGTAAAATAGGTCAGTAAATAAACAAACTCATCTTCACCTTTGATGCAATTGATGGTTCGTTTGAGACTGTGTGTAACGTCCCGATTTTCAACCTAACATTTTCATTTTCAAAAGCATAAATAAAACATATCAAAACCATTTTCATTAAAAAGATGTCATAATTATATATTTATTTCAAACACTAAGAAAAACTAATGAAGAGTTTTAGCGGAAGTCTTAAAATATATTTATAACTTCGATGCGAGTACAGTCATGCCGCGTTATTTCCTTTCGTACCTGAAAAACATTTATAATGCAGGTAAGCTTAAAGTTTGGTGAGTTCCCCAAAATACCACATACATCACATATAACTATACATAATAGAAATATGTAATTTATAATCCAATAAGTCTATGTCAACCAACATGTCTGTTACTGTAACGCCCCGATTCTCAGGTATTAATATTGTGGCTTTAATTTTCAAGTTTCAAGGTCTACTCGACGAGTTGGATGCCCTGACTCGTCGAGTAGTAGCGGGTTTGGGACACGTGTTTAAGTGACCAACTCGCCGAGTCGGAAGAGTGACTCGACGAGTTGGAGCTGGAGGGTGAAACCCTAATTTCCGGGGTTTTGCACCCTATTTAAAGAATCATAAGCCTCCTTCAGCCTCTTTACAGTCCCTTGAGAGCTCAGGAAACCCCTAATACGTGTGTATGTGCTCCATTGTGTGTTTTAAGATTTGGAAGAGGATTCTTGGGGAGAAGAGCTTGGGAAAAACGAGTGGATTGAAGATAGGAACTCGTGGGAATCAATATCTACTTCAGTTGGCATCTTTTGGGAAGGTATTAAGCTGTTATCTTAACCCTCATTTGATTCTAGATCTCTTTTGGGTGGATTTTAGGGCTTTTCTAGTATAATAAGAAGCCATTAATGGGTATAAGCTAAGATCTGAAGTTGTAACTTCAGATCTGGACTTTCCCTAGACTCTAAGTCCATAAAGTTTCAGCTTTGGCAAGCATGAACCTTCCCTCTAGTGTGAGACTTCTTTGCAAGCTTGGTTTTTGTCATTTTAAGGCTTTAGAGCTTTGCATGCATGTAAAGTTTTCAACTTTACGTGATAAACATGCCTTGGGAAGCTGGATCTGCAATTTGGAGCCTTAGCATGGCTTAAAAAGCCTCTGTATGGATGAAGGACTGAAGGAACTCGGCGAGTTGCATGAACAACTCGGCGAGTCCGATGAGATTGCCTTGGGCTCGGCGAGTCAGTTGATTGCTCGACGAGTTGGCTAGGGTTTTCCCGACCTTTGGACACGTATGAACCCGACGAGTTGTAAAGGGGAAAATCGACGAGTTGGCCAAGAGAGTTTGCGGCCACTGACATTAGGAACTCGACGAGTCGCTCAAGTGACTCGGCGAGTTAGCAAGTTATGCAAGGAACTCGACGAGTGGTTGGTTGTACGCGATGACTTGAGGTCAACATGGACTGTTGACCTTGACAATTGACTTTGACTTTGACCAAGGGTTGACTATTGGACTTCTGGGGCATTTTGGGAAATTGGAAATTCACAAGCATGGTTCTATGGTGCATTCAGGTGGTGGAGTTGTACCGGCAATCCAAGAGCTTGGGTTTATCTTTGAGTCGACAGTGCGAGGTGAGTTATCCTCACTATACTCAAGGGTCTAAGGCACCAAGGCCGGCCCTTTGAATTGTTATTGGTTATGCTATGCTAGTATGATCTATTAGTTCGGTATCCTAGAGGGTAGGACAATAGTATGTGGTATGATCCGTTAGATCAGTTGTTGTCTATAGACTGTTATGTGATTATCTGTTGTGTGTGCACATCTTTGTTTGGCGGTTGAGGCTTA